TGGATCACCTGTTGAGAAAGAAAAAAGAAAACAAGCAGAAGAAAAAGAGAGCAATACAATAAAACCTATTTTTGTTGTTAATACAAATTTCGTCAAAACGTTATTCAGACTGCTGAAAGACTCTGACGGACTTTGCAGTTATTAAACTACATTATTTAAATAATGCACAAATAGCCCAAAAGTTTGTAAGGACAGCCAACCAAACCAAAACTATCTGTCTGTTTAAAATACACGATCGTTCTTGTTGTATTTATGTTGCTAAATGTTGTTTATGCTACACTGAGCCTGCTCAACAAAGTGAACACTCAAAATGTGTCCTTGCTTTACTATCATTAAGGCCACTTTGGTGAATATTAGTGATGTGTCGTGCACAAAAGCATCGGCTCTTTGTATCAACTGTCTTCCCACATACATCACACACAGCATCACTTCTATGCTGAACGTAAACACAGCTATGATCTGTGAACAAGTCAAGACTGTGAGTTTTGTGGCCTCGGGTTTCTCATTGGCTCTCACTCTTGCGGAGGCGTAGCACGCACATGAATGAGAGGCGGAAGGCGATTGTAGTTCCTATTAACAGGGTGTTTCCGACTATCCCGCTAATTGCCGAGTTTACTTTTGTCAGGATGTCATATTTACGATTAAAAACAAATTTAATCAAGATAGATATTTACATTTTCATATAGGAATTGATCCTGAAACATGAAACGCTGGTAACGGAAGTATAAATATTTCAGGATCGCGTCACTACCCCTCAGTCCGTGAGTGAGACGAGGACAGCGGCGAGGAGGAGAGTGCGAGTGCATCGCAGAAACACATACATATAACTGACAGCAGCATCTGGCTGCAGTTTAAAGAAGCAGATACTAAGAGGAGAAATCACATCAGCCCATCCAAGCTGAGGCTTTTCTGAATGTCAGCCTGCACTGAGGACAGACTGCTGAGTCTGTTCTGCTTCTGTTCTGTGGATTTGTAAGAATCCTGCTTTTGAAACAGAACAAATACACTAAATTAGGCAATTATAAGGCTTCTCATAAAAACGCTAAATGCAAAAGGGTTTATCAACACACAAAGCATTCATATTTGCCAAATAAAGCTAAAATATGAGGCTACAGATGATAACAAATTAAGAGCCATTTGGGAGCCAAAAGAGCCGGCTCTTCT